AAAAAAAACTTAACCAAAATCACAAAAAAATGAAAAGCACTAAATATTATCAAATCAAAGCAAAGAATCTAACACAGAATTTAACAAAGTAAATGAGAAGATTTTTAAAAATCAAAGAAATAACATAAAATTAGACAAAAGATTACTAGTACTTAACTAAATTTTGTTTAAAATATGCGGTATTTTATAACAAACAACCACTATACCGTAGTAAGCAAATTTTCTGCAATATTCATCAGATTAATGGAAATCTTTGCGTGAAGAGGTGTGAAGACGATTTTGAAGAGCTCGAATAGGGACGTGCAAAAACAACTTGAGCATGATGCACCGTATGATATGGACAATGGTGGTCAATGGTCATTATAGGGTCTGTGGTTATGCATTTTTATAACGCTTCAACGGTAAAAAACCGAATTTTTTATTCAGGAGCGAAGGGGATAGGAATTTGTTTTCCAGACCACTTTTGGGACCGGGGTTTCTGTAGTCTTGAGTGGCTTAGTCTCTAATTAGAATAATAAATAAAGATAAAGACGTTTGTTAATTTGGAACCTCAGAAAAGTGCTCTTTAATTGGAGGTAGTCTTGGAGGGAGACCTGTCTGTCTGTCGGACAGGTGTACAGTCAATACACAACAATTATAGTGGTGCATCCAAATTAACAATTTTTACAGACAAAGAATTAAATTAAAAGTAGACATAAAAGAAACACAATTAGAAATAATACGTTAATACTCGACTACCTTATATCGTCCAAAGATCTTATAATGAAATGCTATCAAAGAGTATTTAAAACTCTTTGCTATCATCAAATAAGTTATAGAGGGCTCAGCTCATTTTTTAGGTGTTCGCGCGGGCTTACAAACTTTTATTATACCGGTTGGCGTGTGTTTGGGCGTCAGTGAGTTGAAATCTAATTTGTGAATTATTTTAAAATTATGATTCATATTCTGTCATTACCTTACTGTACTGTATGTAGCCTGGATGACTTTCTGGGTGAATGGTGGCCTTTCGCTAGTACGACTAGTAGTTCAGTACGACGACACGCCTAACTCTAACTGTCCAGGGAGTCTTTTGTGGTCTACAGTTACTAAAAAAGGTAGGCCTAGACCTAACTACCTACCAGAGCTCTTATACACATCTAGATGTGTATAAGAGACAGGACAGAGCTCGTCGGGCAGTCAGACCATAAAACATATAAAAATAGGCCCACACCAAGCCAACACATCTGTCACAGTCTGAGAGTGCCATTTTCGGCCATCCAGAGGTTGATATTCTTTAAAAAAAATCTCAGTTGGGAGGGAAACCCCTTCTCAATCCCTTCTCCCACCCAGCTCGAGTGAGCTCAAGTCCCCCTGTCGTTGGACAATTTAGCACCCCCCACCCCAGAAAATATATCCTAGAGCCGCCACTGCTCCTACCACCTAGTCGCACTGTAGGGTCAGGCTCACTATAAACGTGCAATTGGACTTTAAAAATCAAGAAAAATAAAGTTCAGTTAACAAACTAGGGTTTTCTTTAGAACGAAACTTTGATATGTCAAGAACAATTCCCTAAAATCGTAACATTTAACTTCAAATATATTTTTCACAGCATACCCTTAATTAACATTATCAATACATTTGGTATGCAATAACGTAAGTTACTGAACCAATGTTGAATAATAGATGGTTGTAAGACGATTATCTACAACTAAGTGTAAAATGTACCTATAAATATCATTATACATACGATGAAAAATAAAAAACAAGTTAGGGAAAATTGCCACACCCAAGTAATTAAACATTTATATTGTTTTGAAAAATTGATGCTGTAATAATATATTTTAATCCGGTTGATACTTTTCATTTTCGATCACTAAAAGTAAACAAACAACATATATCTTCCCCATTAAAAATCTACGGAGATGCTCTGATAACAAATGACATAAATTTGTCAAACATACACCTCCAATGATAATTGCATTATTTATGTAAATGTTAGTAATGGAAGTTTCATATAAGTATGTAACACCGATCATGAGTCTATCGTTGTAAAATCAAGTAAAATTATAATTTCTCTTCTCAATTGTAATATATACAGTACAAAGAAAGTACAGTAAATATATCAGTCACTGCCCATATTTTTATTAAGTGATGTTTATTACATGCTATATCATCTTGTGTTTAACATACGTTACTTTTCACAACGTAGTATTCCTTTCAACTAGGCCTAAGCTTTTGCCTGAAATTTTCAATTTAACATTTCATTATAAATATCAACTATTATGTTAACTAAATATGGTTGAGACACAGCCTATAATAAATACTTACGAAATTGCTTCACTTTAATGATGGACATAGGACCAACATTCGAGGAAAACACAAAGTTATAAACTCAAGTTTCTTGGTGTCAATTGCTCAATGCCATTTTTTCTTAGAAGGTGCTAAAACTTTTATGTGTCGGCGGCGTAAATAAAGTCATTTATAATAGTTTTATGCCCTCTATACTTCATATGGATTAATATTCCAAAACGTAACGTAGGTTGCTGTAACGTAAATTACCTTTCTAATTACAATTACTAATTAAACATGATTACTTAACACCAATGATGATTTACTGATGCTGTATCCATGCTTATTACTTATACTTCTAATGTTTAGTTTGGTTAAAATTCTTGAACTGGTATATGAAGAAATCAGGTAACATATGTTTCACTGCTTAAAAGCGACAATCAAAATTTCAAGTTTAAGACCATATTTTGCATAGATGACTACCATATTTTACTTTTCGGAATTAAAAATACAGTATTCATAAAATCTTATACTAAGCAGATATTAGTTATTACCTCAAAGTTTTCCTGCAGGCAATTATGATTATGTAATGTAAATTACGTGCATTTGGTGACACGGATAAACTGTACCATAACCACACTAAACCTACCTCGATTTAAAAAATTTAAAGTACAAATTGACAACCTTCCAACCAGCTTACAAATCGGTAACCATAAGCCCTGTGGTACACAGCATTTTTTGAATGGTAGATTGCTAAAACGGTATTTTTTATCTGGCGACAGACCAATTTTGCATACTCATGACTATAAATGTCGTCCTAACTCTTTTGTTAGTTATCAAAACTTCATGAAATTTGGTACACTTTTCTAATATATTATGGACTTTTAAATTTTGGTAACACTTTCCACATTATTATCATATTTTTTCATTCCCAGTTGGTGAAACATAGGCGACAGGGTTTGCACGATTATAGTGAGCCTGACCCTGTACGTAAGTAGCCTAGGTTATTAATATTGCGTGCAAGTAAAATTATAAACATCTGTAAAATGTAATGATCATTTTTTAAATGTGTAAAATAAATTAAATCATCTACCATATACATATTTAATACTACAGAAACAGAAATGCTGGTCGACGAAAACATTGTGAAGAAGTCCGAGTGTCCTGGATGATGGCGGTGGTCGATCAGTCCAGGTCAGTTATGCTCTCATCCAGGGTCCTATTGAAATATCATTGAGATACATACACTAATATTATAAGTTCCTTTTGCATTGTGATTGGACAAGGATGTTTTGGATGAATGTACAGTATTAGGACAATAATATAATGCCAATCCATTCATCTGGCTTAACAATCAGTCACATGGTTACAGCATGCTTGGGCTGAGAGAAATTTACTCTCATCAGGATTGAATTATGAATATGCCCAATGGTGGCTCCAGAAATTTGCCGACAAGTTATAGTGGTCCAACATGTCCGATGGAGGTGCCGCCGAAGCCTCGGTCAACTGCCTGAAATAAAACTTCCTAGGTGTTCACAGTGAGAGCTTTTATTGCTTAGCATGGTCCAAAATGTGCTTTTTTTAGACCACAATGGATTGGCAGTCAAAACATTATTTTGATAGGCAAATTATTATTTTTTTTTTTATCCGATAACCTAGTCATGTGTTTGATGACAGGGCATCCAAGCCTGTCTAACGCATTGGAAAATACCCCCTCCCCCTCTCTTTCCCCGCTGGTGCCACTACTGAATATGATACTGTGTCCCCCGTCTGATGCCATGTTGAGAGAATGGCCAAAAATGAATATAAAAGTAAACATTTTTGGAATGCCAATATTTAGGCTTAGGGGAGTCAACCTATACATTATTGTTTGTAGTCTAAAAGCACAATTTTTTTTTGGCATAGTTAATTTAAGTCAACTCTACTATATGAACCCTGCTAGGGATTTTTATTCCAGACCTCGGAACAGGGCTCTAATCCACCCCTACTACAGACCCACTGTCTAGGCCCCCTGTCAACAGATTTCTGGAGGAACTACGCATGGTAACAAAATAGTGACTGCCTTTTTTAAAAACTTATATATTGTGAAACTATGAATTTATGGATATCTTTGGACAGCTTAGAGTTAAATGATCATCACACTTCCCATATATTTCAGCTCTGTAACAGGCAGTTGTGTTCCCGGTTCAAAATAATATTGAGATAGCAGACTTTTAAGGTAAGTTTGTACAGTCAAGACAACTCCAGTGCAACAGAGTAATACAGTGGCGTAGAAAAATATTTTTCATTGGGGGCGATGATTTAGGGGGTGCAGGGGAAAACTGTCCCTCCCCTGACGGTTTTTACCGGGCTGACCAAGCCGTCGTACCGGGCTGGGTAATAAGAGAAAAAAAAGAGGGGAGAGGGAGGGAAAAAGAAAGAACAGGAAAAGGAAAGAAAAAGAGAAGAGAAAAATAAAGACAAGAATAAAAAGGAAGATATCATAATGAC